GTGCGGAACTCCTTGCTACCATGAAAACAATTATTGCAGCCTATTGCCAAAATCTTAGTGGTAAGATATTTCCAAAGTGTGTTTGAATGGTTTCTGATGTTCTGGCGATGCAAAGAGCTGGTCGGGCAATTGGTGTTTGTAGTCACTATTGTCTATTTGCTTTAGACTGCTTAGGGGAAAGGGAGGTGTTCGGAGCAATTTGGGGTTAGCAGCACCAGAGGAAAACACAGTTGCTCAACAGGAATGAAATTTCTGACAATGCGTTCGGTAACGTTACTCCTGCAAGTTGCTCCAGAGTGCTGCAAATTCTCCATCTTTCCTTGCTGCTCTGGGCTGCGGAGTCCAAGTTTCTGGGTGTGAGGAGGCTCCTGTCGCTGTGGATGGGGCTGGCAGCGGAGCCCCTGGGGTTTCTCCATTTTCTGTCTGCGGTCTGAATGTTCATGGAGTGCTTGGGGGGAAGCTAGAAAAAGGAACTAAAAAAAGCAACTGTTTGGTAGGCACAAATTTGCTAGGCAGAGCTCTGCATCTTCCCTGGCAAAAAAAAAAAAAGGAGCCTTGGAAATTTGACAACGGTAGGGCTGTGCGGGCGGCTGGGCTTCTGGGGATACCTCGCTGGGTGTGCCGGGACGGGCGAGAGGGATCGCTTAAAGCACGGCACGCTGCTTGGGGGAGAGGGAGAGGGAAAACAATTCTTCAATGCTGGTGATGGCTTCAGTGTTTAATTTATTTTGGTTGACCCGTTCATAGTTTGGATTGAGCCAGGATGAGTTGAACCATCACTAGCTACCCAACCTGGGACGGGGTGGTTCTCCTCTGACCTGAGGGTCCTGCTGGGGACCTGAGGGTCCCTGGCCTCAGGACCCATGGGGACAGGTCTGCTCCTGTCTCACCCTGAGCATCTCTCTATCTGGCCAGCATGCTGAGTTGGGGTTGTTTTCCCAAGAAAACAAGGCTCTTGTGACACAGGAGCCAACATAGCTCGCTGTGGTCGCGGTAGTGGCCCTACTGGGTGGTCTGGGCTACGGCAGACCTTTGGCCGGGAGCGGCGCGCTGGCGGGACCGGCACCTTGG